CAACTTTGCTGTACTTTTCGATTATTTCTAATAGTTCTTCTTGGATTCTTTACGGTTTTCTATATACACAATCATGTGAACAGACATTTTTTTCAGAGAAGATATACAGGTGCCCGAGAGCCACATGAAAACAGTTCAACATCACTAATTATTAGGGAAGTGCAAATCAACACTGCAATGAGATATCAATTCACACACATCAGAATGGCTATAATTAACAAGACAAGAAATAACAAATCTTGTTATTTGTTGAGAGGATGTGGAGGAAAGGGAACCCTCATACACTGCTAGTGGGAATGCAAACTCATGAAGCTACTATGGAAAAAAGTATGAAGATTTCTCAAAAGATTAGAAGTAGAAATACCATATGATCCAGCTATCCTGCTACTGGGTAGCAAACCAAAGAACAAGAAACCAACAACCGAAAGAAATGTATGCACCCCTGTATTCATCGCAGCATTATTCCCAACAGCCAAGATATGGAAGTAACCCAAATACCCATCAGCGGATGAATGAATAAAGAAGATGTGGTACGTATATACAATAGAACACTACCGTCCCATAAAAACAGACAAGTTGTGCCGTTTATAACAGCATGGATGGACATTGAGGGTATTATGCTAAGCAAAATAAGCCAGACAGAGAAAGACAAACATTATGTGATTCACTCATATGTGGAAGATGAACAGAACACATGGAGAAGGAGAAGAGATTAGTGGTTACCAGAGGGGAAGGGGGTGTGGGAAGGGCCAAAGAGATAAAGTGACACAAATGTACAGTGATGGATATAAAGTAGACTATGCTGGTGAAGAAGACTCAGTCTGTACAAGAAACTAATTCCTGATGATAAACACCTGAAATTTACACAATGTTATAAGCCAATATGGCTCATTAAAATAATTAAACTTTTTTTAAAAAGTAAGAAGATTAATGGGTGGAACGAACAAAAGGTAAATAAACCTAGAGCCCCTTCTCTAGACTTAGGCCAGGCAGTTCTTGTAAAAATGCTTAGGAGGATCAAGTTAACTACAATTTCCATGAGCCACAAACATTTTTTTCTAGTGTTCCAATACAAATAAAAATGGCTAATTAGTTCAATTCTACTGGGTAACTCCTAGGAATAAAGTAAGGAGCAGCAAAGCGCACGTAGAACATATACATTAAAGTAAAGAAAAATTGATTTTCTCTTTACTGCAGAGATGCCAATTTAAGCAATGTTAGATGGCAGGCATTATATATAGGCAAATATTCACTGAAATATATAGCATTTTCCAAACACTCTAAAAAGTAAAATATCTCCTAAATAAAGAAAGAGGTCAGGGATATAAAAGATCATCCTCAGCAGAAGTAAAACACTATCACCTAGAACTAGTTTGGGAGTATCCACATTTGAAACAGGAATGAGGAAGATAAAAGAAAACTTATGACGATACTAACAGGGGTCCCAGATAAAGCATCTTTAATCTGTGTACCTGACTCACACTCAGTCTACCCAGGGCTTGTGAGGACAAAGCCACAGGCTAAAAAATCGGCAGCATCTCCACTTCCTATGGCAAAGAAGACATGAAGTCCATGGATAAGTGAGGGAGGCGACTATAGACAAAACCTGGTGTGTCTGTAATATTCTTTACATAGACTTCACTTCTGAAAGTTCAGCCCAGCCCATGTAAAGAACCAGAGCTCTTAAATAGAAACACGTGCTGCATAAACCCTGAACTCTTACCAAACCCCAGTTTAGTGCTACCTGTTTTCCTGATGGAATAAATCCCACAGCAGCTATAAAACAAAGTTCATACTGATGCCCTGGTGGTTTTTATTGTCATCCAGTGAGCCCAGAGTGAGGTTTTTTACAGATTGATAGTTTCTAATATGTTATGACCCACTAATAAAAGCAGAAAAGCCACAAGGTACAGACCATACGAAAAAGTTCATAAGGAGGCTCAAAGGCAAGAGAGGAGACAAATAATATGGACATTAGAGGAATCTGATGTTCCTGTCATGTACAGTGGCTCACTACAGTAGAGTTTAGACACAGCCAGAATGCTAGCCAGGTTTAACATGATATCTCTAGCTAAAGACCTAGTTCCATCAGTTTTCTATTTATCTGATACAGCATGTCCACCTTTCAAACAAAAATTACGAGACATGCTAATGGCGAGACAGAACATAGTCAGAAGAGACAGAGCAAGTATCAGAACTGTGCTCCGATATGGCAGAGATTTTGGAATTATCAGACTTAGACTGTAAAATTACTGTGATTAATATGCTAAGGACAATAATGGAAGCAATGGACAACATGCAACAACCGATGAGTAATGCAACAAGAGAGAGGAAGTGGTAAGAAAGAAGCAAAAGAAAATGCTGTACACCAGAAACACTGTGAGAGAATGAAGAATGCCTTTGATGGACAAGGCTGAGGAAAAAATCAGGGAATCTGAACATACGCCAATAGAAACTTCCCCAACTGAAATCCAAAAAGAAAAAGAACGGGGGAGGGAGGAAACAGGATATTGAAAATTTTTGAACAATTACAAAAGTGATACCTATCCACAATGGAAATAACAGGAGGAAAAGAAAGAGAGAGGACAAGACAAATAGGTGAAGTATTAATAGCTGAGAACTTTCCCAAATGGGTGACAGATGCCAAAACACAGATCCAGGAAGATCAGAGATCACCACAAACAACCAATTCCAAAAAATCTACATGTAGACATATATTCAAACTGCACAAACCCAAAGACAAAGAGACTCTTGAAAGAACCCAGAGGAACTAAAGCCTTACTTTAGCTCAAAAAGGATAAGAATTACAGTGCCCTTCTCATTAGAAGACACGCAAGAGAAGAGGAGAATTCTACATCCAGTGAAACCATCCTTCAAAAGGAAAAGAGGAAATGAAGAGTTTCTCCAACTCAAACTGAGGGAATTTCTTGCCAGCAGACATGCCATACACAAAATATTAAAAGAAGTGCTTCAGGAAGAAGGAAAATGATATAGGTCAGAAACCTGAATCTATATAAAGTAAAGAAGAGCATTGGTGAAGGAATCAATGAAGGTAAATAAATCTTTCCTTTTTCTTAATTGACCTAAGAGATAAAAGTTTGTTCAAATTAATAGTAATGATGTGCTTACAGCATAGGCATGAGTGAAATGAATGACAATTCTATAAGGAATGTGGGAGAGGAACTGGGAATATCCTGTTACATGGGAATTGCACGACCCAAGAAGTAGTATTGTGTTATTTGAAAGTGGACCTAGATTACTTGTAAATGTATAGTGCAAACTCTAAGACAAACACTTAAAGGATTTTAGAAAGAACTATAATTGATATTCTAAGAGAGAAGACAAAATGAAATAAAATTAAGTGCTCAGTTTAAAGCAGAGAAGGAGAAAAGAAGAAAAGAAGGAAGTAGAAAGCCATTACAAACGTGACAGATATTAACTCAAATGCAGCAATAATTAGACTAAATGTGAATAGTCTGAGTACACCATTACAAGATGGAGACTGTCAGAGAACAGAAAAAAACACTATATGTTGCCTATGAGAAACCCACTTTAAATATAAACACAGATTAAAAGTAAAGGGATAGAGAAAGATATGTCCTGCTAACACAAATTACAATAAACCTGGAATAGCTATATTATTTCAGACAAAGCAGACATTAGGACAAAAAAAGTGATCAGGGATAAGGAACTACGTAATAACAAAGGTGTCAATACTTCAACATGTAATAATCCTTACTATCTATGTACCTAAGAACAGAGCATCCAAGTGTGTGAGACAAAAACTGATAGAACTGCAAGGGTAAACAGATAAATCCACCATCATATTTGGAGACTTCAGCATCAGCCTATTAGCAATGGACAGATCTGGCAGGCAGAAAATCAGCAACATAGTTGACCTCAATAGCACCATCAATCAACCAGATTTGAGTGATATCCATAGACGACTCTCATGGTGCGTATTCTGTGTCAACTTGACTGGGGTAAGAGGATGAGCAGACAGCTGGTAAAAGATTATTTGTGGGTGTGTCTGTGACGGGGTTTCCAGTAGAGACCAGCACGTGATTGCTGAACTGAGTAAAGCCGATGACCTCCCCTACATGGGTGGGTACTGAAGGACTGAATAGAACAGAGTGCTGAAGGAGGGCACATGTGCTCTCCCTGTTTCAGCTGGGACCTCTGTCTTCTGCCCTGGGAAATCAATGCTCCTCGTCCTTTGGCCTTCAGATACAGACTAAAGCTTACACGATCGCCCCCACTCCCTGACCCTCATACCCTCTGCCAATTCTCAGGCCTTTGGACAGGGACCGAAGTACTCGACCGGCTTTCCTGGTTTTCCAGCTTGCAATGCATAAATTTGGGGGCCAATACCTATAATAGTGTCCTTTACATATGTATATGTGTACATCTGATTGGTTCTGTTTCTCTGAAGAACCTTCACTAACAACCGCTTCATCCAAGAACAGCAGAACACACATTCTTCTCAAGCTCACGTGGAACATTCCCCAAGATAGACCACATTCAGAGCCATAAAACATATCTTTACAAATTTAACAAAATAGCGATTATTCAACACATGTTCACAATGCAATAGAATTATACTAGAAATCAGTAACAACAAGATAATTCAAAGTTCTCAAGTATTTGCAGACTAAACAAGACACATTCTAAATATCAAGTGAGAAAATGAGGAAGCCTCAAGAGGAATAAAAGTATATTTAAACTAAGAGGTAATGAAAAATGCAACTCATCAAAATTTATGGGATGCAGGAAAAGCAACATTCAGAGGGAAATTTATAGCATTGAATGCATATGTCAGGGAAGAAGAAATACCTAAAATTAAAAATCTAAGTTTTCATGTTAGGAAAGTAGAAAAAGAAGAGTGAGTATGTTGAAGGTAAGCAGAAGAAATTAAAAAGTAAAAATTAGGGCAGAAACCAATGAAATTGAAAACAGGAAATGAAAAAAATCAACAAAGTCAAAGGGTTCTTTGTTTTTAATTTGGGAAAGATCAATAACACTGACTATCCTAGCCCAATTAAGTGAGAAATAAAAAAAGAGAAGACACAAAATACCAATATCATCTATAAAAGAGAGATATAACTACTAATCCTATGAAGAGTAAAATGTTAATAAAGGGATAATATGAATGACTCTATTCCCACAAAGTGGATAATGGGGGTAAAATGGACAAATTCATTAAAAGTCAAGTGTACTATGAAAGTTCACACAAGGAGAAACAGATAATCTGAATAGGCTTACATCTATTAAACAAATTGCATCAATAATTAATAACCTTCCAAAACAGAAAGTACCAGGCCTAGGTGTGTTTATCAGTGAATTCTACCAAAAATTTAAGGAGGAAAGTATACCTATTCTCTACAATCTCTTCTACAAGGTCGATGCCGGGGAATATCTCCTAATTCATTCTATGAGGGCAGCCAGACATAATACCAAAGCCAGACAGGGTACAAGAAAGGAAAACTAAAAACAAATATCTCTCATGAAGATAGATGCAAAAATCCTTAAGAAGCATTAGCAAATTGAATCCAACAATGTAAAAAAGGAGTTATATACCATGACGTAGTGGGCTTATTCCAGGAACGCAGGGCTGGTTCAGTGGTCCAAAATCAATTCATGTAATCCATCAATCAACACACTAAAGAAGAAAAATCACATGATCATATCGATAGATACAGAAAACGTATTTGACAAAATTCAACACCCATTCATGATAAAAGCTTTCAAACACTAAGAAGAAAGGGTAACATTCTCAAAGTGATAAAGAGCCTCTGTTGCAAAAACCCTACAGCTCACATCATACTTAACGGGGAGAAACTCACAGCTTTCCCCCGAGATCAGGAAGCAGGCGAGGATGCCCCTCTCACCGCTCATACTCAACACAGTACTGGAAGTCCTTGTTGATGCAATAAACAACAAAAGGAAAAAAAGATATAAGATGGGGACCGAAAAAACAAGACCGTCTTTATTTGCAGATGACATGACTTTCTATACAGAAAATCCCAGAGAATCCACAAAAAAAAGGAATGAAATTAATTAGCATTTATAAGAAAATTGCAGGATACAAGGTTAACCTATAAAAATCTATTGTTTTCCAATAAACCGGCAATAAACAATTGGAATTTGACATTAAAAACACAGTAACATTCATACTTGCACAAAAAAAAAGAGAAATATTTAAGTATAAGTCTAACAAAATACGTGTAAGATTTAGATGATGAAAACTATGAAACTCTGATAAAAGAAATAAAAGTTCTAAATAAATGGACAGACATGTCCCATGTTCATGGGTTGGAAGATTTCACATTGTTAAGACATCAATTCTTTCCAACTTGATCTATAGCTTCAACACAATCCCAACCAAAATCACAGTAAGCCATTTTGTGGAAATCCACAAACTGATTCTAAAGTTTGTGTGGAGAGAAAAAGACCCAGAACAGCCAACACAATATTGATGGAACAGAATAAAGTTGGAGAACTCGCAGTACCCTAGTTCAAGACTTACTAGAAAGCTATAATAATCAATACAGCATGGTACTGACAGAAGAGTAAATACATAGAGGAACGGAAAACAACAGAGAGTCCAGAAATAGACTCACGCAAATACAGGCAACTGATTTTTGACAAAGAACGCAAAGGCAATACAGTAGGGAAAGAACAGCCTTTTCAACAAATGGTGCTGGAACAACTGGATGACCATACCAAAAAAAAACAAAAGAAAGAAAAAGGAATCTTGACACAGACCTTACAGCTTTCACAAAAATTGACTCAAAATGGGTCATAGACCTAATGTGAAATGCAAAAGTACAAACACCTTGTAAAAACACAGGAAAAACATCTATATGACCTTGGCTTTGGCAGTGAGATTTTAGGTATAACACCAAAGGATAATCTATGTAAAAAAAAAATTGGTAAATTGGACTTCATTGAAATTTAAAATTTGTTCTGCTAAAGACACTCTTAGGAGAATAAAATAAAAAGAGAAGAAAAAGACAAGCCAGAGAGAAAGACTGGGAGAAAATATTTGCAAAAAAAAAAAGAAAACATGCCATACCTGTCACCCTCCCCATCGCCTCCTTGGGCTTGCAGGCAAAACATCTTCCTTTGGCACCTAGTTTTGGAAAAACTCATGTTCTTGACCCAGGTTTAGTTTTTCACTACCATTTCTATGCCATACATTATCATACATTTAACTTGTAAGATACATTGTGATATTATGTAGTGAAGAAAGGCAAAAAAGGACTGGGATCCAAAAAACGTAAAGAAATCATGACACTCAAGAAGAAAATCCACACCCAATTAAAAGATAGGCCAGGGGTCAGCCAGGTGCTGTAGTGGATAAGTTTGCATGCTCTGCTTTGGTAGTCCAGGGTAAAAGGGGTTCAGATCCCAAGCAGGGACCTGGGAGCACTCAACAAGCCAGGCTGTGGCAGCATGCCACACAAAATAGAGAAAGATTGGCACCGCTGTTAGCTCAGGCCCAATCTTCCTCGCACAGAATAAATAAATAAGTGGGCCAAATATCTGGATACAGCCACACCCTACTCTCCACCTTCATCCCCTCTGATCCCACACACGCCAGCCCGGCCACACCGTCGGCTGGGATCATTATCAGTCCTGGTTAACTCCATTCTGTGTCGACTGGTGCTGCGGCAGGCAGAATGGTTCCCATGCCCTAATCCTCAGAACCTGTGAATATATTATGCCAGAAAAGTGATTTTGCAGGTGAAATTCTGGTTATATATGCTAAGCGAGATAGGTCAGATGTGGAAAGACAAATATTGTATGATTTCAGTCATATGCGGAAGATAAAAAAACCATTACAAAAACATGGATATGGAGAATACATCGGTGGTTACCAGAGGGCAGGGGGGGTGGGGAGGGCAAAAGAGGTGAAGGAGGACATTTGTACAGTGACATTTGTAAGGTGAAATTTTTGCGGAAACTAGACTTTTGGTGGTGAACATGATGTAGTCAATACAGAAGTTGAAATATGGTGATGTACACATGGAATTCATATAATGCTATAAACTAATGTTACCTCAATTAAAAAAAGGTGAAAACATTTTCAAAAAAGAAATGCAGGTTACAGCTTTTAAAGTGGGGAGATTATCCTCGATTGTCTCTGTGGCCCAATCTAATCACATAAACCCTTAAAAGTCGAGAACTTTCTCCAACTGGAGCGGAGAGATGCTGCCGAAGGGCAAGTCAGAGAGACACGAAGCGTGAGCAGCACTCCAGGCTTCTGCTGGTTAGAAGATGGGGGAGCCGGGCCACGAGGAAGCCAGGTGGCCTGGTGCTGAGAGCCTCACGGCCTGAGGCCAGCGAGGAAAGGGACCTCAGCTCCACAACCGCAAGGAACCGCACTCTGCCAAGCCTCAGAGTGAGCTTGGAAAAGGATTCTCCCCCGAACCTCTAAATAGGATCGCAGCCGGCTCACTCCTGACTCTGGCCCTCTGAGCCGTGCAGCAGAGGAGGCAGCCAAGCCCGCCTGGGCCCGTGATCCCCAGAACTGTGAGGCAGTGAATGTGTGTTGTTTGAAGCCTCCAGGTCAGTGATAATCTCTTACAGCAGCAACAGGAAGCTGTTACAAGCACCCACCATTTCTGACCCATCATGTACTTCCCAATACGGTGGGCACCTGAAATGAGTTGACAACCATGACTCCATTTTGTACCCTGGACTCCATCTTGCTAAAAATAGGAAACTGTGCTGACATTGCTGACTTACCAAAAGGGAGTTATTTGCTGAGAGACGACTGTCTGAAGAACTGTGCCAAAATATACTCTTTCTGGTCACAAGCAGTGCCCTTGAGCAAGCCCATGAGCTATGACATGAATGGACCCTCCCTGACAAACAGTGAGGTGGCTGCTCTGGGCTCTCCTTTGTGATGATAAAAACTCCTGACTTTTATGACTTGGGGGACCCTTTTCTGGCTGCTGCCAGAACCTGTGTTCCCCAAACTTCAATTCGAAGACCCCAAATAAAGCCTCTCTTTTTCTTTTAGGTGCCTCTTTTTCTAAGCACCGTCATCCCCGTCATTCAGGTGAGGAACCTGAGACTGTCGCACAGCAGGTGTCCAGGCCAAAGTTTCACAGGCGGAGCTCAAGACATCACAGGCTCTGTTCCCCAGCACCCCAATAAAGCCACTGTCGCAATAAAGCGAGTCACACGAATCTTTTGGTTTTCAGTGCATATAAAAGTTACGTTTACACTACACTGTTGTCCATTAAGTTTACAGTAGCACTATATTTTTGAAACATGCACATACCTTGATAAAAAATAATTTATTGCTAAAACACTAACCCTCGTCTGAGCCTTCAGTGAGTTGTAATCTTTTTGCTGGTGGAGGGCGTTGCCTCAGCATTGATGGCTGCTCACTGATCAGGGTGGTGGTTGCTGAAGGTTGGGGTGGCTGTGACAATTTCTTAGAATAAGACAACAATGAAGCTTAGCACATTGATCGACTCTTCCTCTCATGAATGTTTTCTCCGTAGCATGTGACGCTGTTTGATAGCGTTCTACCCACAGTAGAATTTCTTTCAAAATTGGATCAATTCTCTCAAACCCTGCCTCTGCTTTATCAACCAAGTTTATGTAACATTCTAAATCCTTTGTTGTCATCTCAACAGTCCTCATGCATTTTCACCAGGAGTAGTTTCTCTCTCAAGAAACCACTTTCTTTGCTCGTCCATAAGAAGCAACTGCGCATCCGTGAACATTTTATCAGGAGATGCTGCACTTTAGTCCCATCTTCAGGGTCCACTTCTAGTTTAGCTCTTCTCCTGTTTCCACGCATCTGCACTTACTTCCTCCACTGGATTCTGGAACCCTCGAAGTCATCCATGAGGGTTGGAGTCAACTTCTTCCAAACTCC